AAATGATCTCACCTTCCTTGAGAGCAAAAAATATTAATGCAGATAATTAAACTTCAGAGTAGGAATGTTCTATATAACTAGCATGTGTGTGGCCTATTCTCTTGTCCAGTTATGATAATGAAATAGAATATTATCATTCCTGGCACAGTCAAATCTTTTCTAAAAAATGCCCTTTCAAAGAGAAAGAATTTCTTAAAAGAATAAACCATTCTTGGTACCAAACCAAATTCAAGCTTTTTTTCAGGTTAAACAACTTTTTTTTTATTATTTGATTTTCATATTTAGTATTTCACTTCAATGGAATCTTAATAGATTTTTAGACATCAATTTAAATTTAGGTAAGAGGAAAGCAGCTTTTATGATTATTTCTCAAATTCAATAAATACAGCCTTGTGAAAATCTATTCAATTCTATTTCAATAACTACTACAATGAGGTGCTAATTTAGGTAATATATTTACCTGACTTTTGAAAGGAGTCAGAGACATAGTAGCTTGTAAAATATGAGTGTGCAAATGAAAAGCCACCAGTAATTTCCAGTTACAACGGTACATGGGTGCAGAGCTCAGCTACCTGCCAGTGAGGAGCGAGTGTGAGTGCCCTTTTTTCTGCAGATCTGCAGACCTGCTTCAGTGTGTGTAACTAATGCCACCGTCAATTTTATGTAGCCTGCTGTGGATATAAGAGCAGATATTATCTCTCTGTGTTAAGAATTTATATCTTCACTTTACTGTCTGATATTACAGCCTCTAAGAAAGATGTTCCTTTAATCAGTATAGAAAAAGGTCATGAGTTCAGTTCTCTTGAGGATCATGATGCCTGTAGGGTAAAGAAGTTATTAAATACTTAACAAACTTGCCTGGCTGTCCTTATTCCCACAGATTGCTTGCTTAGACGTTGATCTGAGGTGGAAAAAAGAGAGAAAGGGAAAGCGAGAGAGGTGGAGGTAGAGAGTGATGCACGGAATTATGCATGAGCTATTTAACAGTGGGATGCAATATAGCATAACTAGAGCAAGAAAAAAGGAAAAAATATATTGCTGTAACCATTATTTGGGTGAGTGCTAGAAAGTCAGTGAGAGATTAGTAAGTGAAAACTGATATTATTTTACATACAGAAAAAATGCCCTTACTTATAATATGACAGCAGACGTGTAAAATCCCTGCTTGCTGAAATGGCTCCATATATCATTTAGTTTTCATCCTCACCAGGTTATCGCAGGCATTTCTTATCACATTACACTTCATGCCAATCCATGCGCATATATGTTTGTCTGAACCTACAGACACAATGTCTGGCTCATAAATAAATGAACTCATCAGTGTTCAAAGTAAGGGTCTGTGATCTTTGCAACACGCTCTACTCCATGGCTTTGTCTCAGAGTTGAGAGAGGCAGAAGATGAGGACAGGGGTTGAGTAGACAGTACTGCAAGATGCTGTTTTAGAGGCATCACAGGAAATTATTGAAGGTGTCTGGAATCAACATCGACTGTATGACTGAAAAATGAAGGTCCATGTACTGTACAAGTGTAATTTAATCTGGCATAGTTATGAATTAGAGACACTGAGACTTTTGTTTGTTTGCAGATTTCAAGGTCTTCAGCTGCTTTGCCAATTGATATTTTTATTTCTGAGAAAGACTGCCCAGGGACAATGGTGTTACCAGAAATTAATTCGGAATGCAGGGAGATCCAGATTTGCATGGGTTGCCTTTATTTGGGAAGGTCATGCAGTACCTTTTTTTTTCTGCTGACCTTTGTAGGTTATTATCTCCTAAGATTTAAAAGAATCCTGAAAGGTTAAAATGAACACAATCAAAAAAAGATGCACTCATGAGGTTTTGGAGCAGAACTAATTCTTCAGGATCTTTTGAACAGTAAGCATGTAGAAAGATCCTATTTCATTCAAAATTAGGTAATCATTTGGAAATTTCATTAACCTTTTAGACTCTCTTGGCAAGCAGACAGCTGTGGACCTGAAACAAAAAAAAAAAAAAAAAGATCTACACAGTGTCAGATTTCAGAATTATCATTCTGTACGACTATTTGAAAGTAGCATCAGCTACAGCAAGGAACTCAGGAGGAACTCTGTCCTCACCTTCTCTCTTCAACTTCAAGTAACTCCCATCTAGTTTTTTTTTTCTTTTTTCTTTTTCTTTTTTCCCTGAGAGCCAATATCCAAATCACAAAAGAACTAATTAATGTGAGTCTTCATTAATTGGGACAAGCTTCCAATTGATATAGATAAAAAATAATCTACTTCCTATAGTACCAGTTTCTAAAGTGACAGCTTAAAATGTGTGTATGCAGACTAAACCGGGCTTAAAGAGCATAATTTCAATAACAGCGGGCTACGAGGGTGCCCTGTGTGGGACCCTGAGCAGTCGCAGCCCGTTCCAGCTGGCTCCATAACAGACAGAAACAGCCCCCATGTGCCAAACTGGCCGCTGCCAGAGGAGCTGGTCCTGCAAATGAGATATCCTCATGAAGGGCCTGGGAAGAAGGAAGTAACTGACTGTGGTTGCTTGAACTGCTGGAGTGCCTTTACAGGCAAGGGACAAGGGATCTGAAAAGGTAATGATCACTAATGCTATGGCATGAAAGCTCTGCTGGACAATAGTTATTCATGAATTTCTCTTATTGCCTGAAAAGATGGTAGGAAGTCTTATTGACTGTGGAGTGACCTATGTTTACTGAACCTGGGAGAAGTGTGATGGAAGACAAGTGTGAGATTAGCAGCATGGCCAAGGGTGATGCAGGAAGTCCACTACTATGGATGACCTCAAAAAAGTGTCAAGAAAGGCTGAAAGTTTACGGTGATCCTTCCTTTCATGCTAGAATTTCAGGATGTTCCCAATGGGGAAGGGGGAGGAAGCCTTACAGAGTTGTGAGTTAAAGCATTACAAACATAGGAGAAAGGTCAGAGCTTGGTTAATGCTGTTAAAAGATGTGGAATAAGCTCCAGGATAACAAAGTCATTTATTTTAGCATTTTACTCTCCAAATAAGGAAATGCTCAGGTTGCAGCAAGTGACTATTGGTTACCACCCATTTTGGGTCTGAGTGAAGCCCTATGGTGATGGGAGTTAGGAATTTACTGGTATCTGTTATGGTGGTGGTAATCATTGCTCGTGCTATCTTAATCGTTTGCTTGTATGCTACAGTATAGTGAATATTCAAACTAGTCCAGTGTTCCTGGCTGTGTGTTTTGTAGAGGCAAGGCTTGAAGTAATAAAAATCCAGATTATGATAGTAAACCTGACAATCTTGTCTTGAAGAGACAATGGATGGAGGTTGTAAGGAGTATGATATTCAAACTGCTGTAACCTTCCTGGTTTTGTTGTTTTGAGGGGGCGAGTGGTGAAGTTTGTTACAGTGCTAACCCCAGTAGCCTGCTCTGTGGGGGCAGCGGGTTGGAGTTTGTGAGGAGTACATATTTAGACTGTAACAATTTTAACCCTGATAATCTGGCTCTCAGGAGGAGGGATGGAGTTCTACTGAGTGTATGCACACATTAATGGACTACTCATCCCTATTATCTGGGGGAAGGGTAAAGTCTATAATGCATATATGTAAAGGTTGCAGTGATGGTAAAGGAGAATTTATAATGGATTTATATTCAGGCAGTTCTTAAATGTGATTTGCAGGGTAAGGGGTGGCATGTACTGGGCATAAATGGCTGGGTTTTTGTAGCAGGGGGCTGCAAGGAGGCTTTCTGTAGGAGAAGGCTATGAACTACCCTGTGCTGGTCACAGCCAATTCCAACTGCCCCTTTAACAGATAAAAACAACTCACCACATGCCAAAACTTCAACGAGAAAAGCGTATCAGAGAAGGGTAGGGGGCTGCTGCTCAAATATTTTTAAGAAATGGCAGTAGCTACTAAAAGCAGGAGACATGGGAGGAAATATTGGAGGCAATGCGTGAGAACACACAAAAGACACAAGGAAAGATGTGAGGAGACATAAGAAGGAGACTTGAGAGGAGATGCAAGAGGAAGCATAAAAAGGGGGTATGTGAGGAGAACTGTGAAGAGAAACGAAACAGCGGACATGTGGAAGGGGTCATTGCTCAGGGTGTGACTGGAAGGAGGTACTGCATACTTGAGGAGGTATGCCTCTGAGGGGAGTGTGGCCTTTGGAGGGACTCATGCCGAAGCAGGTACACCCACAGAAGGGACACTCTTCAAAGGACTGCAGCTTGTGGAGGAACCCACACTTGAGCAAGGAAAGCCCAGAAGAGGCTGTAGCCTGTGCAAGATCCACGCCTGAGCAGGTACACTACTGAAGAGACTGTAGCCTGAGGAGGAAACCATGCTGGAGCAGAGGAAACAAGGAAGAAGGAAGAGCAGAAAGAAACCACTAAGCAATTTCCCCCCCCCCCCCCTTCCCCCCCTCCTTCGCTATACTGAAGGGATTGGGAGAGAGTGTAATGGGTAGTGAAAATAAGTGAAGTAGAGATGAGGAAGGGAGGAGGAGTGGTGGTAGACTGAAGCTGAGCCTGGGGAAGGGGTAGGAAAGGTATTTCTCTCAGTGTTTAATTGTTTGTCTTTATTTCTCAATACCCAAATCAGTAATTAAGTAATGTTAATTGGCAATAAATAAGTGAAATGACCTGAATCAAGATGGTATCTGCAACAACTGACACTAACTCATATGATTTCAGTCAAAATAATTTTTATTTGAAGATTATCTGTAGTTTATACTGCACCTAAACCTGTTTACTTATGCTTGGACACATGCATAGACCATTTCTTTTGCTCAGGTACCAGTTGGTCCTTCACGTAATTCCACTTGCAATACCCAGTGTATTTCTGCTCACTGCCCCTAATAACTTAATATACTGCAGGGTGTCTTGTTCATCAGACATCAGTAAACACATTTGGGATGTTTAGATGTCCTTTACAATGATGTGCTTATTAACCAGTGTTTAAGAAGGAGGTGAATGTTTGAGAAAGAAAGATTATGAGGCCAGTAAAATCAATGAGCTCTTTATTTGATTTAGCCTGCAGGATGACCACCAGCTGTTACTGCATCAAAACAGACACACAGAGGGAAGCAACAGAGTTGCCATGGGAACTGCAGTGAAGCATATGATGGTAGAACTTTCGTAAGTACAAAATATGGGGAATTGACATGAAAAACTGATTGTTTTCTATACTCAGGAACTGAATTCTTTGCTTAGATACAAGTGAAGTGAATAGTATTTCTGGTCTCAAAGCTGTTATACTTCTAACGAAAATTTCTTTTCCCTACTTTTGTTCATTTTGGGTAGGTAAGTTCACATGAGTAAGGGCCTGTCAAATGGAGGTCCATCTGAGATCATTAGAAGCTTCACTATAATGTTAGTGCTATTATTTATCATACATTTTGATAGTTTTTTAGTAGTAATATTTATATTAAGAATAGGAAAAAACAGTCTCCATTGCTAGTGTTTCCCTCACTTCCCCTCTTTTCCTCCACCTCCGTTACTGATACAGTAAGAAAAGAACCTGGTTGCAACAGCTGTTAGAGGCAGTGTGCCTGTCAGTCAGGGTACAGGGAAACACCAAACCGATATGCCTGCGGGCAGTGGAATGTCTGCCCTATTTTGTTCTTTGCTTGTGGGTGAGCAACTTGCTTGCAACTTGCTGACGTATTAACAGTGCAGTTAAATACTGTCCTAAAAGCTGGGGTTTGACAGTAGGTGTAGAATTTATTTTGTCTTGAAGTAACAACATTTGTGAGTGGCTTCAGCAGATGAATTATGTCCCTTGCTGGTCCTTTTCTTCAATAGCTAGAACCTGCAGATTAGTATTGTCCCTCTACTACTCATACATGGTTAAAGGAGGTGGAAATCTTCAAAATCTACTGAAGTATTGAATCCAAATTCTTATTTACTCTCTTGGGCTGTCGTTTTGTAGTGTTGTAGTTTAATCTACGTAAAGAACTAATGCATTTGATCTAGATGTAGAGCAGCTTGGTTATACTACTACAAATCCAATGAAAGTAAAGAGGTATATCACATCTAACATTGCTTTCCAGATCACAGAAAACAGATGAATAATACATATTCAGACTCTGACCACACTTTCATTCCTGTGATTTTGAAAAGAGAGATACTCTGTGTTGGGGAAAAAAATCCTGCTAATTCCTTCTGTCCATTTTAACAAGAGTTGTTTCAGTTTCTGTCCTTAAGTATCTATAATATTCTTATTCTGCTTTAAATAGCTACTGCTTTTTTTTTTTTTTTTTCAACTGAAAGGTGACCAGTTCTGTGGTGAGGAAAATGGTCCTAGTTTGTGAGGCACATTGAGGTGAAAGTAATTACAGAAATGAATGAAAGACAGATATATTTGCCTTCTCTTTTAATCATAAAAGACTCATGGAATTCTTTCAGAAGTGCTAGCATCTCAGTTGCTTACCCCAATCCTCTGAAGTCATGCAAGAAGAGGAATCAAGTTAGGAAAGTCCCCCTGTGAAATTATTCCTCATTTTATTAACAAAGTACACATGTGCTGCATTTCTTATGTTGCTTAAGTCTTTTGAAAAAGCTAGCAACATACTAAAATAAGTAAATAATCACAAATATTTTAAAGAGGGAACCCTTGTAGTTGCAACAGAAGCAAAATCAGATATTGGACAGAGTTATACGAACTCTGTGGAGATGCATGAAATCTGAGGGCTGTGAGATCTGGTGGAAAATATGTCAGTTTAAACTAACTGTTCACCTCCAGCCCTTGATAAGACAGAAGAGCTGTTCGTTATGTCTATCTTGCGAGGAAATTGTGTGGAATAACTTTCATTAACATGGCATGTGGAGCCGAGGGACCTCAGCTGCAGTCTTCCCTGTGCTCAGTGAGGCCTGCCCATTCTTCTATCCTCCACTGGTGGTATGGTGGAATGTGGAATGTACATTATTTAACCTTGCCTCTAAATCATAGCTGAAAGCTTGTTAAAGAAGCACCAGCTAGTGTTTATCCCTATTTTATCCCTAGAATTGTTAGCAAAGTCTATATGAAATAGATACCTTGTAGGAGTTTTTTAGCTTTTTGTAGTTAAATGTGCAATGTTAGGATGCACCAATTCAACAGAAACTTGGAAATCTTTTGATTCTGGAGTGTTTGCATTACGTTGTAATCAATCATGGGCTACATAACCGTATATGTGTGTCTTCCTGTTCATATCTGGTTCCAATATACCTAGCCTGTGCTTTGTGGTTGCATCTAGAGTGTGTTAATATACACAAGATAGTGAGAAAAAGCTTGCAAAAAGCTTCTTAAAGCAGCTTTTTGCACATGTTCCAAATGCTATCTGCATGCCTCTGACGGTTCCAATAAGTAGAATTACTGAAGTATAATACTAGTATAAACTGGAGCAAATGAGGCTATAAGATTTTAGGTGTGAAATGAATTTTGAGATTAGTCAAAAATCTCTGAAGGTTACTCTTTATTATGGGAAAAAACACTGAGAAAGTAAATGTTCTTTATAAGCAAGAGGAAAATGGTCTTAGAATTACAGGACAAAAAAGTCCCCTCTGATACATAAGCAGAATTGTTTCTAACTTCAGAATCTTTTTTTTTTCCATATCTCCTGTGCCTTTGACCCCCCCCCCCCGCACCCCAGCTTTTCTATGAGGTATCAGCAGCTCTTAGGCAGGAGGTGACACACTTTTAATGGGGAGGAGGTGACAACAAAATGAAACAGGGAGATGTTTTGGGGAAATGTACTTGCATACATTGCAGACATTTCTCTCAGCTCAATGACTTTGTAACTCTTTGTTTTCTTGTGTTTAAGAAAATTGCCACACTAAGGCTCAGTGCTGTTTAAACTAGCAGTTCCTTTTTTCTGTCTTTCTAGGTCACAGTTAAAACTGCCCTTTAGAAAGTAAACATAAGCACTCATTCTTTTTATCATTCTTACATTTTATATTCCACACTTAAATGCCATTTTTAAGGACTTTTTTAAAGTAAATGCATACTCTTAACGTGTTTTCTTCTAACAAAAAAAAAAAAAAACCTTGATGTTTCCACAGCAAATGTGTTAACCTACAGAAAAAGACCTCATTTTGATTTCCTGGATACAACTGTGAGAACTCTTCAATATTTTTTTTGTTGGTGCTACTTCATAATATTCCATATATACCACTTTTCTGTTACTTGTTCTCATGACAGGGGATGAATTTCACCGTATTACTTTATGGGTTTCTTCTAGCCTAGTGTAAGAAGCTTAAAATCTCAAGTTGGGAGTAAACTGAATGTTATTAGGAGAGAAAGTAAAAAAAATGAGTTAGGGAAAACGTGACTGACAAAATTGGCCTTGCTACTGTAAAGAAGCTGCAGAAGACTTATGAAAATATATTCCTTTTTATAAAAGTTTGTACATAGTGCTGTTGGCAAAGAACATGCCATTGCGCATGGTGGAAAGATAAATGCTAATAAGAGGCTAACAACGTCAACAAAGGTTCTATCGCAATGATAGATTAAATCAAATTTAATATAGCAAAGGCTAAGGCAGGGAAATTCTCTTCTCCAAGTTATCCATTCCCTCAACTATCTCTCTCAGGTCAATAAAAAAGTTGGCTATTTTAACCATCCTTTTTATAGTAAAGACTAGATACTTCAGTGTGGAAAACTGTTGGAGAAAAATGTTTTACCTCAACTGTCAAGGCGGTGGCTGTAGAAAGATGTCCAATACACTGAGAAAGCCTAATCACTTGATACCTTTATAAAAATCTTAATGTAATAACGGCAGCAAGGAAGCAGAGGTAACCAACTAGTTGGAAATGGAGTAGGACGATGGAAAGCTGATTCAGGAGTTCACAACAGATGTACAAGTCTCTTGCTATTTTGCTCTTTTTTAATCGATGTAGTGTAACGCAATGTTGTCTTACTGCTCTTCTTCCTTGTAGCCTCACAAATAAAGACTAATCATGCATACTGATTAACTTGCCTCTCTTAAACTGCACTGATTAGATGTCTAGTTACGTTATAGGTGTTTGCAAGAATTACCTGCATATACCAGATTTAATAACTTTGTACTCTTTATGTTATGAACACGTATCCTTCTAGAATGTCAACTATATTATTGAACACTTTATCGCAAAAGCAGCTGAGGTTCAGAGAAGACTTGTACTACAAACTGAAATGTGAGCAAAATTAGAGCCATGCTTCATCAAGCCTAATAAGAAAGAGATGATCTAGTCGCATATGATTTGTCACTAGCCTGAATGCTGAAAGGTTAAGTGGAATAGTTTATTGAAAAAGGCTAGAAGAATTAAGATCTGATGCTTCTTGCAGGTGTCATACTGTAAATGGTTATGAATCTCATTCATTCCATTCCTAAAGTCTTGATAGCTTAATTTTCTGAGTAGACTTTAGGTTTAATTGCTGGCTATACTGGTAGTAGTTTTTTGTGAGAGGAACTGTCAATTCTTCACATAGCAATTTGTGTATGTGAGGGGTATATATGTGTACATGCACATGCATGCACTAACACAAGAATACAACAATTAACTCCTGAATTTGACTTATGATCCATTTATTCCTTCTCTCTAAAAATTGATGCTTATGATGGTGAAGCGTCCCACATGGATTTAACATTTGTATTTCATGAAGGTTCCCTACTAGTAAAAAAAATAGATTTAAGACCTAAAGCATGGCGCTAAGGTCTTTTTCAAACCTCTTCTTAAGGAGTTGCTATTTTAACTCCTGTATTTAAATTCTGAAGGCCTTAAACTCCTGTTACAAGTAGTCTATAGATCTCATTCCATATTGAGCCTATAGATAGTTACTTTTTGTGGGTTTTCAATTTTCCATTTTCATTTTCACTTAATGACACCTCCTTCTTGTGTAATGAAAGGCAGAGAACAGAAGCTCCTTATTCCCTTCTCCCATATTAGTAATTACTCTGTGCTTTTACTATGCACTATCCTCTTTTTTTCTAATATAAGCAATCACCATCTTCCTACAGAGAGAGATAAATTTTTTGGAGCTCCTACTCAGTCTCATCTTCTCTGAACCTCAGCAGTTTTTGTAATAGATTGATCACTATCAGCACTCTAGGGTAATCTAGGGAATGATTTACCCCTGAATTACTTATATTTTTAGAT